CAAGTAGGTGCTTTAGACCACTGAGCCATCTCTCCAGCCCCAAGTGAACACTTGTGAACATGTTTTTACATATATCTAGAGGTGAAACTGCGGACTCCACTCCTATGCGGTAACTCTTGTATTTATGTTGCTGTCCTGAATAACTGGTCATTTCCTAAAGTAGCTGCGTTGTTTTATATTCCTGCGGGCAGCAGATGGCGTTCCAGTTTTCCCACATCCTCTCCAACACTTGTTATTACTCACCTTTTTTTAAGTATAGTTGTCCTAGTGAGTGTAGATGGAAAATGATGCTGAGATTTGGATTTGTACTCCCTGATGATTAATGATATTGGACACCCTTTATGTGCTTATTGTCTATCTGTATATTCTCTCTGGAAATTATAATGGATTATGTTGGGTTATCTTTTTATTATGCCATGGTAAATATTCTTTATAAAATTCTACATTCAATGCCATTACCACATTGTGATTTGCAAATATTTTCTCCCATTTATGTGGATTTTCTTTTCAATTATCTGCCCTTTGAAGCACAAAACTTTTAAAATTTTGTTGAAGTCCCATGCTGTCTCTCTCTCTCTCTCTCTCTCTCTCTCTCTCTCTCTCTCTCTCTCTCTCTTTTTCTTGAGCTTTCTGTGTCATACCTAACAGTCTACAAGATCGTTTTATCCTAATCCAGGGCCACGAAGGTTTATGCCCATCTTTTGCTTTAAGATTTGCATAGCTAGCTGGGCACAGCGGCACATCACCAGCACTTGGGAGGCTGAGGCTGGAGGATTGTTGCGAGTTCAAGACCAGCCTGGGTCACAAAGTGAGTTCAAGGCCAGCCTGAGCGGCATAGCGAGACCCTGTCTCAAAAAGATAAGGGGAAAAAAAAAAGATTTGCATAGCTTTAGCTCTTACATTTAAATCTCTGATCTATTTTGAATTGCTTTTGCATATGGAGTGACACTGGGACCCAACCCAAGTTTATTCTTTTGTTCGTGACAGTCTCATCCCAGCTCCATCTTGTGAAAGACCGTTCTCTCTCCAGCAGCTTCTCCTCTATGCTCGTAGGAAGTCACATGACTACTAATGTGAGGATTATTTCTAGATTCTCTCAGTTCAGGGATTTATATGGCTTTTTTATATGGAGTCTTACTTTGTAGTCCAGGCTGGCTTGAACTCAC